ACCAAGAACTTTTTGTTACTGCATTTTTTGCAAAAAACTTCACAGAATAGCTGAATATAATTTGTAAAACTTCTAATGCTGTTTTTTTCTGAAAATAAATGCGATTCCTTAAACTTCGCTTTAGTTCCATTTGATCAACTTCGCACGAAAATTTTCCAGCACTGGAAGAAATTGTTATTCCACCTTTTTTTTACTAATTATGGAATTCTTCCACAGCACAATGTAGATTAAAAGAAAGTTTCGTCCTGCCTTTCCTTATAGCATAAGGAATTCCTTTTATATAAACATACTCATGATTTAGCTAAAATGAGAGCCTATTTCCCCCAATAACATTAACTCAGAAGGCAGTTTTCCAAATCAAAGTCCTTCTAATTATTAAATCTACTCAGTTGATCCAAATAACCTGTTCAGATATACGCTTAACTACCCCGTTAATTTTCGTCCTGAAATTTGTTTGCAGGATTCCCAGAACTGTATGTGGTCTTAAAGGCTACACCAATGAAAAAATGTTCAAAACAGCTTGGTAGCTATTAAATTCTGATACCTAGGTAGGTGTTGTTTTCCCTAGCTTTGTAAGTCTAAAATTGGACTTTCCGACAAGCTTGCCGATAGAAGCGAATATGCGAGTTCCAGAAAGCAGTTCAGAAGTAGAAGATGCGATCGCTGGAACGAGAATTTTATCTGCCTGACGTTTCAGATTTTGTCGAGCATCCTTTATCATAAGTAACCGTAGGATGGCGCGAAACCCCAATCTGTGCATGTTCCGCACCATTAGCTATGATTAAGGATTCTCGACAGAATCTGGAACTTCAGGCGAATAAACATCTTGGTCCAGCGATCGCATCTTCTACTTCTGAACTGCCTCCTGATTTTGAGGGATCAATACCTGTATGCATAAGGAAGTTAACTTGAATGCCAAATGTTTTTTCTTTTGCCGACCTCTTGATCAAAGCATTACCTTATTATTTTCTTCTGCTTTCTGCTTTCAAACGTTTACTGTAGATATCTATCCAACTTCCCGCCTCATGGGCCTCCCCGAATTCGTCAAGGTGGGTAAGGTGTTCCAGGCAATGTCCTCGAACTTAAAAAGCATGCTGGAACTGTCTAAAAATCTTCACGGCCTGCTCTATTCAAAGCCCTCAGAAGACGCAAAGCTGGAGGTGGCAGCTGAGGAGGAGGAGATGGAAACAGAGCAGGTGGAACCAGACTCCTCACAATCCGCTGACATTTGCACTCCTAAAAAGACCCCCAAAAAGAGCCGGAAAAGTGAAAAACATCGCAGATCCCTGGAATCACCGACTACCGCGTCGAAAAAGCGGAGGCGCTCTTAGATGGCAGTCTAGATAACCTTCAGTGTATACTACCCTTGTAAATAAACACTTGATTGACCGACGTAACATTCTTGCCTGGTCTTTCTAGCCGTTACTAAAGTTGATTGGTCACAGTTTCATCATTCTGACGGCATTTGATATAATAGAAGTCATTATGACGTAATTCGACCAATAAGTGTGCATTGCACTCGTGACACTGTGGCGGCGATGGCGGCAGACGCATAGTTGCGTAATGGTGACGTAACTGCGTGTCTCCTCGACACTGCCATATTCTAGGCATTTGAAATTGCAGACAAGATTTTTCTATCCGTAGTCCGTAAACTCTTCTACTAATGCAGTTAGGAGCGGCCGCCGGGACGGAGGGGAGGGGAAACAGTTTGGCATCGCAAAACATTCACTACCTGTTCTCAATCATGGACTCTAAGGATTTTCTCAAGAAAATGCTTGTTACGCAAAGTCTTGCGGCGGTAAAACGCCGAAGGTTCTTAAAAAAGAAAGCATATTTCAGTTAACCACCTGGTATTGCGTTGTTTAGGTGCGCCAGCCTTTTTTTAGAAAACTGGAAAATTCTGAACTGAAAAATCGGGGTTATTAAGTAA